GGGAATATCATTAGGTTCAACAACAGGAAATGCTAAGTCCTGCTCCTGGGGAGGAATAACCCTGTGCAGCGATACATGCTTGGGACCAAGCAGACCAAAAGCAGTTCTGCAGAGAAGGACCTTGGCGCTGTGGTGGACAGCAAGCTGATGAGTCAGCATTGCACCCTCCTGGCAAAGAAAGCCAGTAGCATCCAGGGAAGCGTTAGTAAAAGTATTCCTAGAAGGTCAAGGCCTTTTTACTCAGCACCTGTCTGATGTTCTGTGCCTAGTGCTGGGCTCCTCAGTACAAGAAGCTTATTGGAGTAAGTGCAGTAGGGCCTAGAGAATCTTCTGTATGAGGAGAGGCTGAGAGCTACAACTGTTCAGCAAGGAGAAGAGAAGGCTGAGGGTTTGTCTTATCAATAGGCATTAATACTTGATGGGAGAGAGGATATGGGGAGGATGTAGCCAGGTGCTGCTCAGTGGTGCCCACCGACAAGACGAGTCAATGAGTGCAAACTTAAACACGTGAAATTCCATCTAAAGTTAATACAAATCACCTTTAACTGTGAAGATGGTCAAACACTGGAACAGTTTGCATGGAGAACTTGGCTCTAGCTGTGAAGAAATTTAAAACCTAGGGGGGGAGAATCTTCTAGGCAGCCTGCCCTGGCTGATCCTGCTTGAGCAGGAGGGTTGGACTAGATGATCTCAGGATGTCCCTTCCATCCTAAATGACTCTGTGATTGAGTAATTACAGCTGAGCAACTTTAAGCAATTAACAAGTCTGTTTTGTGCAGTCCTGTAAGTGTTCTTTGCCTTTTAGCATTACCCAGATGAGCGCCACGGAGGACCAGACCGTCACTCACGAGACTCTCGAGAAAGTTGGGGTAGCTATGGATCTGACAGAAGAATGAGTGAAAGTAGAGGGATACCCCCACAGTCACGGTTAGTACACTTAACTAAAAATACATTTTCTTGTGCATCAAAGGAATATTTCCATATGTGGAAGTAGGATGCAGTTTTTGGAAGTACAGTTCTTTCTTTCCAAAATTAACCCCGAGTGTGTTGGATGGACTGCAAGTGAGTATCTCGTTCAGCTTGCCTTGTCCATCAAAACATGCATCTTGGCATGAATTTTTTTTTAATAACCACACATCTTAAAGTCTTCATCCTTTCCATTAATTTTAACTAACATTCCTATCAAAGCTTGCTGTTTTCAGGATAGTGGTTCTTCTCTGATATCTTTTTTTCATATCTGTCATCTTATTTGGTTTGAGCAGAAGGATTCTACTGAGATTTGACTTAACAGATACCAGTATAAATATAAGATTTGCATGCACCTTCGTAAAGTATTTAAGTTTGTGACTTAGTTTCTGTACTCGAATCTATTTTGTGTGCTCTGGCTCATGTGAGAAGATATGAATTTCATACCTTCACAGGGATGGACGTGACTGGGGAGATCACAGTCGAAAGTTTGAAGGACATCAAGATCGTTCCTGGCAGAGCAGTGTGGATGGAGGAATGATAGGACGGGATCATGAGAGATGGCAAGGTATGCTTCTTGCACAACAATTCATTAGTTGTGCTATGTAAAGAAGAAAAATTACAGGCATTATCACTGAAGTAAAACTATTACTGTAGATATAAAGGAAGCATTTGAACTTTTTTAGGTGGAGGTAGAGGCAGACCTGGCCATGTGATGCATCGTGGAGGCATGTCAGGGTAAGGAACTTTGAAAGGAGAGAAGTGTGTGTTTGTTTTCCTTCTAAGGGACATTTCTTCTAAATAGAAACTGGCCAGAGAACCATTTTATGGGAGTATCGGTTATTTAATTAGTTACTTAAATGTCAAGGAATAATAAAATATTCCCATGGGTTTCATGTAGTATATCTAATGGAAGAGTGAGAAATCACACAAAAAATTGTGGAAGAACACCTGTACTAGCAACCTGACCACCAGAGTCACAAGAGAACATTAAAATGTCTGAATCACTTTCTAGGCGTGGCAGTTTCATGCAAGGTGGCAATCAAAGTCAGATCATGCATGGAGGAGGAATGCAAGGAGAAGGATTTGCTGGCCAGGAGAGAGCAAACAGACCGAATGATCCTCGTTTCAACCGTCGCTACTGATTGTGTTTAATTTTTAATGCAAGGTGGCAAGTGAAACAAATCTGTTACCCAGGGTTACTATTAATTGTAACTTATGGGCCACTGTAATTTTTTTTAAGCTGCTGCCGTATTATGTCACTCAATCCAATGTGAATTCATTTGTTTTGTAAAGTGTTGTTCATATCCCATTTAAAATGTTTGTTAATGAAGCATTCCATTTTCCATAAACGCCAGTTTACAATTAATTGCTTTGTTTGAGCAGTCCCTGTAAAACTAATTTATTCAGCTCTGTGTTAAACTGTGTAACTTTCAAAGATGAAGTGTCAAAATGCCTCACAGGTGTCCCTTTGCACTTTCAGTAGCACACAACTCCCAGAAATACACTGAAATACTGTGTTACCTTAGACCTGTCAAAATTAAGTAGACTATATGCCACCATAAGAGAACCTTAGAAGATTGCAGTTGTCAAAGTTTGAACACCCTGCCACTGTAAAATTGACATAGGATATTGTAGGACAAGTGGTGAAGAATTTTTTTTTCATCTTGTCTCACGTTGGTAGGTACTGTGCAGTATAATACCCTACAGTCTCTGAAAAAGAAGTTACATACTGAATGAGCAGCACAGTTTCTGTATAGACAGCACAGAGGTGCTTGTGAACCTCTTCCAAGTGTGTATCAGAATCATTTTATTTAGCTTCTGATAGATCAGGGTAGTCCAAAACTCCATCAGTTTCAGGGCAGTAATTTTACTTAGCGGTCCATAATTTCTTTAAAAGACTAGTAACAGCCATTGGCTGTGCTTAAGCATCATTTTATGAATGTGTTGAGAACTAACGTGATCATGACATGATCTGTCACTTTGTTGTATCCAAATTATAATTTGTCTTTGTGCAGTCATCTCTGGAGCAACATGGCCTCAGCATTAACCACCAAGGATGGCTTTTATGATGGCAAGAGGAAAAAAATCCTGTTCCTTTCATTTGTAGGCTCATTTGGGTTTTTTCCATCTTCAGAGATGGGGTTTTTATCAGTTGCCTGAAGATATTTTTTCATACATCCATAGAGAAGGCACATCACAATGTTGAATCTTTAGAGAGCAATCATCAAAGGGCAAAAAAGTGGTTCAGATCATGAAAAGCACAGAGGAGAACTAAAGTTCTAAGCATACCAGAGGTGCAATATTCTACCTATTTGTACACAGTGTGCTTTGTTCAAAGTGATTACATTTTGTAGCAAAAGCTAGAAAGATGAAGACTCTAGATGACAGTGTCAGAATTTTCTTAATGGGAGGTTTGGCCTGATGAGATGGAAGTTATGACTTGTAAAAATTAAACAGTGCTCTGGAAAATCAAGTCCTCTCTTTTACCAAAGCTCAGTGACAGGGTAGTCAATGGCAGACTGAGCTTTCCATGCAGACTGACTCTTAACTCTAATTTGAGGGAAGAGAGGTATATTCCCGTAAACCCACATTCCCAGTGCGTCCCAAGCTGAGCTATGTTATGAGACGTGCTGCTTTTCAAAGCCAGTTGCCTAAGCTGCAGCAAGCTTACTATACAGGGGCTGTAAAATGGCAGACAGCTCCTGTCTCATAGCTGGAGTTTAACTTCTTGTCCCCAGCAGCCAGCCTGCATAAGCAGCCCTGCACAAGTATCTTAGCACCATTATTTTCTGAGGTGTGTACATGGGTAGCTATGACAGAAACTCCTGCAAGAAAAGCTGTGCTGCTTCAAAGGCAGTTGACATTGGGAAGTTAAGGAAGAAATGGGATATAGATAGAGGTTATCAAGGTTCTAGAATGAGGTGAAGGATCTGTGACCTGCACAATAGAGAACTCCAACGTTTACCAAACTTGTAGCTTCCATCTGGACCATAGATTTGGACCCATCCCTCAGGAATTAACTTAAGCACTTTTTAAAGCTATTTATACCTTAGTCAAATCCTCTAAAATCTCTTGGCAGTTGGTTTCATCATATAAATGTTTGTTAAAAAAGGAAACAAAACTGCAAATCCTTCATTCTCGTGTTTTAAATCTGACTCCAAATTTGAGTAAGCACTCATCCTGCTCTCCCGACCTACCACTGCCTGTTTCCTGTTCTATAGTTGTGCCTCAGCTCATTCTGTAACTAGCATAGACTAGAACAATGCAACTGTTATTAGCACATCAGTGTAGAAGAAATGACAGCCCTGCTGCCAGCAGCGAGGTCAATCCCTGTCCCTGGTTTTAGAAGCATGAGCAGCAGCTCTGGGACAGAGACTCAAGAACGGAGAGGTTACAAGCTGTGCATTCACAATAACCCATCTGATATACACACAGACGCTTCCAGTGAGGAGGGAACAGAATCATACTGATGCTGTGCCATGATATAACGACTTCACCAACCTCCATGCTACAATCCCATCACAAAGGGTTAAAAACAGAGACTCAGTCTGTAACTTCATCTTACAATAGTGATGCCCTCTAGGCCATTGGTGCTCCTTACGTACACCTTGGCTGAGACTGAAAACTGACCTCAGAAAAGTTTTCATCCACATTAAAATTAAAACATGCAGAGTCTGCCAACTGGAGCATATCACGACCTAACAAAATGTTTCATGCTCAGTTACCCTTCCTGCACTTGTATAAACGCCCTAAGCCATCTTTTACAGCATCTTTTACTGTTACCTTGGATTTTTAATTTTTTTTTAACTCTTGTTGGCTTGTTTTGAATAAGATGGCATTCACTTTCAAGATTAATTCAGCTTCAGAATAATCTGTTTAGCTACCAAGCTTGGCAGCTTTGGAACAGAGGCAGTACCTCAGCATATGGCCACCACTTCATTACAAATGATCTGTGATCCCTGAAGCCTTTGATCACTGCTAGGAAAAAGCAATTGTTCCAGTCTGTATGCTAAAACCAACCCAAATACAAATTGAAGTTCCAAAGTCTTTTATTGTAGCCCTTACACGGCTGAGCTGCCCTCCAGAGCGACGGACTCTGCATCCTCTCAAAGACAACAGAGGACAGAGAGAATCATGAACCCTGGAGAACGCGTTCATTTGACAAGATCCTTCACATACTTCCAGCCTTCCACCGTGTATTCACAGGCCCTGGCGGGAGCTACAGACAAGGCAGACATGACTGACTGCACTCCTGCAAGGAAAGCAGAGAAGATTTATCCCAAGATCATCATTCAAGCCAAATTTCCCAATGTTACTCTAGCATTGTAGATCTCTAAACACAGAAAGAAAAACTGAACTCTAACTCAGATGCTTTCAAACACCCTGTGGCCTGAATGATCCTTGGTTCAAGTACAGCTTTATTGTCTCAGTAACATTTGTGACACAGAAATTCCAACTTAAAGGCCTCTATATGAGATGAAACAATCACAAAGAACTGGGCTAAGTTCCATTTTATTTCTGGCCTTATCACAGACTCCATGGGTGATGCTGGACATGTCACAGTATTTGTGTACCATGTTTCCCCACAATTGCATAAAGACTCTTTGCTGCACCATAAAAACTATTTATTACTAGGTATTTATAACATGCTTTAACCTTCAAACAAGATGTCTAAAATTCTAGTAACAGGAATGACCATCCCTTCTGAAAATTCCAGGGCTCAGTTCAGACATACTAGCATCTGTAGTCTTCAACCTTTAACCAAAGGTACACCTTTCTTAAGTTATCATTTATTTTTATCCTCTAGTTTCCTTGATCATTGCCAATGCTGATGAATTCACTAGTGCATAAACTCTACTTATTTATTGTGGGGGCCACAGGCCTCCCTGAACACTTTACTGAAACTTTCAATCTTAGACTCTAGGATAGTACAGACATGCCTGTCTTGGGGCACAGGTAGGCAGCAAGCTTTTTAGGTAGAGACACCAGCTCCCCGGTTAGAAAAGGCAGACAGGTTTATGGACACACATCCTCCTCCTTATTTCACAGTTGAAACAACAAGAAATTAGGTCCAAAGTCAGTCAGTGTGCTAGTCTGAAGCAGAATATGCTTCCTCAGTCCCATTCCCAATGCTTCTTCCACCAGACTAACATCTATCAGCTCCTTCTCCATCATTCAATTTAGGAGGACAACGTTGAAACAAGACTGGTGTAAGCTACATCACTCTTGGCCCCTTGCTCCTTTCAGAGCTTGGTGAGTAGTTATTTTACCTTTATTCCAGGAATCAGAGAGGGAAAAGTCAAATTTTGGAGTGGGTGGGAGCTAAAAAGAGAAAGACAAAATATCAGCACCTGAGGCGTTTCACTTAGAATTCACATCACATTGGCAAAGCCTCTTGGCCTCAGATCTCAAAAATACTTAGGTGCCTACTCTCCCTAAGTCTCAAAAGGGATCAGACATGACACTTTAAGTCTAGGGTTTGCTCTTTTCCCCAGGAGGTAGTACACATCATTTGGGTGTTTGTGAAAAACATCTCCTGGGCTGTCTCCTTACATGGCTGTCATCTCTTAGTTTATAGTTGTCTCTAACATGAAAAATGCTTTTCAAACTTAAAGCAAAGGCTTCTTTTCTGAGGATTTTAAAAACTAAGAACTAATAGAGAAGGGCCTCTTCAGGCAATTTAAATTCAATTTGATGAACTGATAGCAATTTGAGAATATGGGAGGATAATATTTTCATTGGTTTTTCTAAAAGCATGTAGGATTCTTCAAAAGAAGCTTAGGAATACTGCTACATAGTGAAATATCACCCAGAGCATGTTTGCAATCCCCTCCTTGACCCTGCATAGGCTGGTTACCCCTTCTCCTTTGAAGTAACATCTGTGAGCTGTGTATCTCCCCCAAATTTAAAATTTTATTCTCCTTCCATTTCAATCCTCTTCAAAATATTTGCAATGTTAAATCTACTTTCAACAGTAAAACTCCTGCCAACTTCACTGGAATCAGAATATCACCCCAATGTTTCCTCCTCATTCAGAGAATGTGTTTGTTTTGCACTGTCCATCTAAACAGTCCTTACCTCCCAGCCTAGGTAACTCGTCCACTCCTGGATAGCTGGAGGCAGTGCTGCTTGAGCTTTTTTGAGTGCTTCAGCACCTTGTGTGCCACTGCCCAGCAGCCCCTGATCATATGCCACATATACAGCAGCTCCAGCTAGGCTTCCTTTGATAACAAACCTGAAAGGATCAAAAGCAGAACAGTTAGTTCACATTATGACCATCAGTGTCTCAATAGGTTGTGACTGCCAAAGGGAGGGTATTAGTAAAGAAATCTAAGGGTCACAAATGTCTTACTGCAGACAAAAAGCTGCGGAAAAATATCTAGCTACCCTCCTTTTCTTCCTAGGCCAACTGCTCCCTGTTAGCCCCTTGAAACTGTACCTATTCACATTTTATCAGTAATAGTTTTCACAAAAAAAAGGCAAAAGTGTCAAGCATCTCAGAGTATCTGCCACTCTGGCACATACCTTTGATAAAAGGAACTAACGGATTCTGCAGTGGGTAAGTCATCCATGTGCTTCTTGCTGCCTTATTAATAAGGATAGACACCAATACCTCGTTAAGCTCATTAAAGTCCAGTTAACATCTGGCTATGGTGTTTGCATTGCCCAGGCTTTTAAAGTTTCCCAGCAGACTGCACAGTGTGCAGTTTTACAGCTGTAGTGGCAACCTAAAAACTGGATGACAGGAAGATAGTATTTGGCCTTTACTGGCAAGTTCGTTATGAGATCTGAGGAGACTGACTTTTCTAGATTCACAGGACAGAGAATTGTTTTCCCTTTAAAAAAACAAGAAAAGCTACTGTATGAACAAACAAACCAAAACCTGCCAGACAGTGGTACTGCAGTAGTAGAATATAGGGACAGATACAGCTGTCGAGAGAGGCAAGAAGAGAATCAATACTTAAATTCATGTATTCACACGTATTTTGGGGAAAAGGGATTTCTCTGCTAAAACGTACTGTTCGCTCCCAAGAATACCCTTCCGCGCTTCCTCCCTGCCAGTGGGGCTGTATTTCCAGATCTGAGCGTGTTCCCTCGACAAACGGGCGCCCTTCCGCGGCACGCTGGGTTTAATGTTACGTGTTCATACTCGCCCCGAAAAAAAACCGCCGCAATCCCGTCCGGCAGGTGAAGACACAGGAGGAGCTGCCGGCCGGGAACCAGCCGGGCGCGGGGGCGGCCGAGGCCAAGGGCGGGGCGCGGCGCGGAGGGGCGAGGCGAGGCCGGGGCTGCGGGCACGGGCCCGGAGAGCCGGGGAGCCCCTGGGAGCCCCTGGGAGCCCATGGGAGCGGAAGGCCGCGGGAGCCGCGGGCGGGCGGAGAGAGCGAGCGGAAGGGGGCGCCGGGCCGGGCTGTCCGGCAGGGCCGCGGGGACTCACTGGGCGACGGGGACGACCGGGCGGCCATGGCGGCAGCGGCGGGGCTGCGGAAGCCGTCACGGGCTCCGGGCGGGGAGCTCCGCCCAGCGGCGGGCGGCTCGGGGGCGCGGCCGCGGGGACCGAGGTTGTGGGGCCGGGAAGGGCCGGAGGGCTGTGCCGCTCCCCGCGCTCCCGCGAGGAGAGCGGATCGTGAGCGCCCTGAGGGCGGCTCGCGCCCGCTGTGGGGGGGTCCCCGCCGCCAGTTTGTCGTGGTGTATCTCATCATGGCGGCAGAGCGGGTTATCCCGCTGCGCTTCGTGTCCCGACAGGAGCTCGGCCCGTGCTACAGCCCCTTGTCCCCAGGCCTCCGGCCTGTGGACTCTGCCGCCGCCTCCCTCCCGCGCTGCGCGGGGGAAAGCGCCGGCCACTCCCAGGTCCGGCTGCTTGGGGTGGCTGCTGCCAACTATGGGCGCCATAATTCTTTAATGAATTAAACGTTCAGTAAGATTAGACGGGAGGGGGTTTGGGGTTTTTTTTCTCCTGTAGGCTTAGGGGGAAGTCGCGCCGTGTGGAGGCTGGCTCTGAGCTCAGAGGGCTTTGGCAATTGCCAGTGAAAGATCCTTTTCGTTCTTGACAAAGGTAACTGTGGCTCCCGATGAGGGAACGACTCGGGTGGCGTCTGAGTGAAACGACTCAGGTGGCGTTCTGGGTTCTGCACAGGACATTACATGCCTCTTGCAGGTTGGCTCCCGGTATCAGAGAAAGGAGAATACAGTATTTTGGGTGGAGTGCTCAGCTTCCAGACTTCACTTTGTTCTTCACAACTTGGAGGGATATGAAGGCAATTGGAAGAGTGCTTTGTGCTACAGGAATTGTAGCTGGGCTCATAGCTTTCTTCTGGAAAGACCCTTTTATCCCAGGTAGGCTCATCAGGGGGGATGATCTCAAGCTGAAATATAAGTCACAGAAGAGAAGAGGTTGAATTTCCAAACTCTGACTGATGGTCTCATTCCTGCCCATAGTCTTACCAGAGTTGGTTGCTCCAAAGCAATGCTTCATTCCCAGAAACAAAGAGAAGCTTGAAACAAAGAGGAAGACAAAATGGTTTAAGAGCAGGGATTCTGCTGTCTGTGTGGGGAAAAAATGGCACTTTGCCACTGCATTTATTGTTTTATGTTTTGCTTGCAAACTCCTTGGTGTCAAGATGGATCTCTGTAGATGTAAACTGCCCAGCACAAGAGGGCTGACCTGTCTCCAAACTCACAGCAAAGAATAAATGATATGCAGAAGGCTCATAGCCTGGTTTATGTTGCACAGCTTTTCAGAATGTGAAAACCAACTTTGTTCTTGAAAGATTTTGGTCTAGCAACCCAGACAAAAAGAATGTGAGACAGCTCGCTTGCATAATGATGTCATTATCCCTTGGCAGTGATAACAAGGTACAATGGCCACCAGAAACACACAGTAACGAAGCAACACAGGTCTTGGGCAGTTGGGCCTGGGGGGTTGGTCCATGGTACTGTTAAGTATTCTTCAGGTCAGTCCTGCCTCTTCTTGTTTTGGAGAAGCATCAAGACTTCAGCACTTACATATATCTTTCTGCTTTAGAGCTCTGCCAATAGTTACTAGAGCAGCTCCTCCTCTGCTGCTTCCTTCACTTACTTCTATATCTTTTATTCTCTTTCCCATAAATAAGAGAACTTGTCTGGTGCCCGTGTTCTCCTGACTGGAGCCAGTGCTGGGATTGGAGAGCAGATGGCATATCATTATGCCAGATTTGGTGCTGAAATTGTTTTGACTGCTAGGAGAGAAGCTGTGCTGCAGAAGGTAAGAACTTTGTCGTTGTATAAGGGAAGACATAAGAGATTTAGGCTTTTTCCAAAACAACAACAAATTAGTTGTCAGTGTGATAAATTTTCCTTCAGAATTGTTGTTAGGCATAAACCCAGAAGGGAGCTTGGCCTGTACCATAAAATTTATATACACTGCCTGAAGTTTTTACTGCCTGAATATTTACATGAGGAAATGGTATGAAGCTGTGTCAAGGAAAAATCAGATTGGACATTAGGAAAATGTACTTCATTGAGAGGGTGGGGTCAGCCAGTCACTGGAACAAGCTCCCCAGGGAAAAGTGGTCATGCCACTAAGCCTGTCAGAGTTGAAGGAACATCTGGACCACAGATGTTAATCATAAGGTTTTGGTTTGAGGTAGCCCTGTAAGGACAGGGAGTTGGATTCAGTGATCCTTGTGGATCTCTTCCAATTTGAGATATTCTATTATTCTATGAACTACAATTCCTGTGCAATATTGTGCAGCTTTTCAGAGTCCAAACTGTTCTATTTATAGCTGTTTTAAGCCTTATTGTAGGTTAAATACTTTTGGACCAGCTCAAACAGATTAGAACTTCATCTGTAGTTTTATATTCTTTTCCGCCTCCATAATTTTTAATCTTTGGATTTGTATTCTCTTTCAAGGTGATGGAGAAATGCCTGACACTTGGAGCAAAGAAAATATTTTATATCCCTGCAGATATGTCTTCCCCTTCAGAACCTGAAAAGGTGGTTCAGTTTGCTGTCCAAAAGCTGGGTGAGCATCTTGGGCATCTCTTTGGCTTTCAGATATGTAGACAGTTCTCATTCTAGTAGGAGCTTCTTGCTTAAGTTTCCTAAACTGTTCCTCACTGAGAGGACAGGAGGGTGTGCAGTTTGTAAATACCAGGTGAGATGTGGTCATCTTTGTAGTAGCCTTTCATGAGGAGGGCATGTCTTTGCTAGAGGAGAAAAGTATGCAGAAAGTACTTGCTTGCAGTGCTCCACTAAAACCACACCCCACAGCAACAGCTGCAGTACCTCACCTGTCACAGGGTACCACATGGACATGTCTGTGCCTTATGTGGGTGAGGACCAGCTGCACATATCCAACCCTGAATGTAGTGCCTTGGGTTGAGAGAGACAGAAACTGTGAGGTCTGAAAGCCATGACCTGCCTCTGTAACAAAGCAAGGGACAAGATATGTCCACTGTTGAGTCCTCATTGTGTCTCCTGAGTTTTTGGTTGGTGCACATTTTGACCACAGCCTACTTTCTGATTGTCTTTTGTGCACCATAGGAGTTGAGTGACTATGGTCTTTTGTCTCTCCACTTTGTCTCATTTGGGTCAGACTGTCATTAGGCAGTGTTTACTGTTATACTCACTGTCTTTTTGTCCATTATTTCAGTGTCTTAATTACTTCCTTATGCTCTTGGTTTTCCTGATGTGGGCGTCCTAAGAAACTGCGTAAGTGTGCTGTGATCTGGATGACCTGTCAGTCCAGCAGTGCTGTTTCTGCTGTTACATTTCCATACCAATCATAATTTTTCTGTTACAGATTTGTATACTTGTAACTTTGGAAATAGATGTACCACCAGAACTAGGTTCCAAGTCTGAATCACCCCGAAACATCACTTTGGATAGCCGTTGTCAAAGACCAACACCTTTCCTTTCAATTCTGCCCTTGAGGAGTAGTCAAAGCTGCTCCCAGATGAGCATATTTAATCTATCTTCACAGTAAAGCACTTTCTAGCGTTCTGAGGGAGTTCCTGGTTGGTTCAACCCTCCTGCTGGCATTTCTGAGTTCCTTGATTACTGGTTAGGGGATGGGCCCTTTGTTTGACTGCTTTTTCTCCTGTCCGCAGGGGGACTGGATTATCTGGTGTTGAACCACATTGGCATGACCCATTTCCAGATGTGGACAGGAGATGTGGAATACACCCGCTGGCTCATGCAGGTGAGGTTTGCCAGTGGGAAGAGCTCGCATGGAATTAGGTGAGTCAGGCTTCTCCTGGGACAGCTTTGGGAAGCTCCAAGGCAAATTCAAGTCTATGGCAATGGTTGAAAACAAACCTTTTATTTCATCCATGTTTCAAGTCAAACAGTTTGGAGGCTTTGTTAGTAGAGAGACGTTTTGCTCAAGTGCTGTACATTTTGTGAAGAGAACTTTTTGGCAAGAACCGCAAACTTCTCTCTTTCCTTCCATCCTTTTTATCTCTCATTAGCCCAGGACTGTTGGGATCAATAGGTAGTTACAGTTAAAGTGTCTGATTTAGGAAGGCAAATAAGTGAGCAGCAAACACTCCCTGCTAATCTATGGCAAGTGCATGTGACATTGCAGAACACAGCAAAGTTGTTTGAAATGCTGTCTGCAATTTGAATCTCTGTTCACAGAGGTAGGGTTTTCCTATAGAATTACCTTGGTTTCAGGTTTTGGGACCATGGAAATGAAGAGCCATTTTCTTGATTCAGTCTTCTTAGTTCGGGTGCGTCATACATACCAGTTCTAATTTCGTTTTGGAAGGAGCCTGTTTGCTGGAGAGTGGGAACTTAGGATCACAGGTAAGAGATTCTTACAAGTTAGAGAGCAGTCAAACTCTGAAGAGATGCTGAATTTTATGCTTCATTGTAGTCTGAGCTCAGTCAAGAGAAACTTAAAGGGGAGCAAATTGAAACATGGATATCCTTGTTGCTGGATAGGGATTGCAGAGTAAAGAATAGCATACAGAGAAATGAGGGACAGCTAATTGTATCTCGTCAAGAAATCTTTATGTTAAAAACAAGGAATAACCTTTTCTCTGAAACTTCTCCGTTGCTTTTTATGGAATCTCCAAGACTCGTGGATGCAATGTTTATCCCCATTTTTACAGAGATGATTTTTCTCTCTTGATGTTTGAAAAGGCAAATCCAAGCTATGCTCCTTTCCATTTCTGATCACTGTATTGACTTTCTGGCTCATGTTTTCAAACCCTCTTGCTTCTTCTATGTCTACTTTTATCATTGCAGGTGAATTTCTTCAGTTATGTGGCACTTACAACAGCAGCTCTTCCCACCCTGGAGAAGAATAGAGGCTCGCTGGTGATTGTTTCTTCCCTCACAGGTTAGTGACTTTACCTGGAGTAAGTGCTGGCCCTGTGGAACAACAGTTCCCAGCACATCATATCTCTGTCATTCAACCCCTCAACACATTTTCCAACTATGCATTTTATAGTATGTAATAATATTATAATAAATATGTAATAAGTATATGATAATAAGAGTGTGTGTGTATACAAACACACACACATATAGGGGGAGCTCCAGGGCAGGTGCTGCTGCTTGGCTAGAACCCCCTGGGGGGGGAGAGGGGGTCAGGATGGTGGCTAGCTGTCTTCCTGTTTTCTGGAAGACCTTCTCTGTATTGCACCATTTTTGCATTCCCTTGCAACTTTGCTCTTCGTTTGTCATGTGCCCAGATCTGCTTGTTTGACTCCTGTCCCTCACAGCCAAGCCCACCTCTGCTGCATTTCGGACACAGCATTAAGATCATCCTGCCACTCTCAGGCCTTCTGGCTTTGGCCAGCCTGAATAGCAGGCTGCTGAGCAGCTGCATCTGCTGTACAGGATGGAAAGGCAGGAGAGTCTTCAGTGCGTGCTCAAGGGAGCTGCATCGCCTTACACAAGTTCAGACTTTGGGTCATCCCTGCCTTTTTGATGCAATGTGCCAAGGAAATGTCATGGCCAAAGACTCCAGCATGCAACCCAGTCCCTGTGTTTGCATGTTATGGGGGAGGGGAAGGCTGCAGGTAGACCATCACAGTGGGCTTTTTAGTCCAGCATGTGACCTGGTTACTGTGTAAGTTAAAAGAAATTTCCTTCCCTTATCCACACATGTGGTGGCTTTTGTGCTGAGATTTGTTTGCACAAATTGGTAAAATCGTCTAAGTACTTGCATGAGAGTAGAAATAGAGGGAAACTCACCTGAACAGAATGTGAGTTGATGCAGTATGACAAAGTCTACATCTTTGCCCAGATTCCCTAACCGTGGATTCTCCTTACAGCCAGTTTCCTGGCAGTTTCGATTCTCTCCTTTCCAGGGAAAATACCCACTCCCTTCACCACTTCTTATTCTGCCACCAAGTTTGCACTGGATGGATTCTTCAGCTCATTGCGCCACGAACTCATCATGCAGAAGAGAAACGTCTCTGTCACACTGTGCATCCTGGGTCTGATTGATACTGATACAGCATTACAGAATACCAGGTGTGTATTTGGAGGAGGATGCAGGAATCTGGGAGGGAGTGTGTCTGCAGGAATATGTCTCTTCTTGAAAGCATGCAACAAAATGCACCACAACTGTGTTTGAGTTGGTGTGTGAATCTCTTTGGATGTGCAAGAAAACTAGTGGGAAGTGTGCACTCGTTTGGGTACATCACAGGGGTTGTGCATATCCGCCTCAGCATTGAACATGAGCATCCAGAGCCCTGTGGCAGTTAAAACCACACCAGGGATTGACTGGCTTTGATCCTCTGACCATTTCTTTCCAGGGGCAAAGTGCACATAAGTGCTTCGCCTGCTCCTGAAGCCGCACTCGCCATCATCCGGGGAGGTGCTACACGGGTGCAGGAGGTTTTCTACCCCTGGTGGCTGCAGCAGGTGTGCTGCCTCTGGGTTTTGTTCCCCACCAACCGGGGCCAGGTTTTAAGGAGTTACTATAACTACAGCAGTCCTTAAAAGTCCTCTCCCATCCTATATCCCTTTTAACTACATTCCCACCATCCCACTAAGCCTCCTATTGGTGTCAAGCAGGAGCAGGGCAGCAGTGGTGGCAAAGTAACTTTAGCTCTTTTCCTAAGACTGCTCTTGGTTTCCCTCTCATCCTGCTTTTAGCCATGGTTCTGATGTTGCTAGCTGTGAGTTAGAGATCTTCACTGTTCACTCTGTCTTAGCCCTCCTCCCATCTCCCCTCCTTCAGCCTCACCTGGTCTGCTTTTACTACATCCAGCCTTCTCTCAGCCCTAGCTTTAACCTCTGTCTGCACACTCCTGGGACATCCTGCTCCACTGCTTTTTCGATTCTGTGAACCTTCTTGTTTCATATAAGTAGAATTTTAATCTCTGTTTTAATTAAAGAGGTTTTTAATGTGTTGGTATTACATGTTGATGCTTCCTCTATGAAAGAATACTGGTCACTTGGATTCTGTGGGCATAGGCCTGTTGGCAGATGTTTGCTGACTGCATGGGACCTGTTAAATCAGCCCCAGGGCTCTGGTGATATCTTCAAGTGCAAGCATTGGGCAGTAAGTGAAAGCAGGTGCAACTAACAACATGAAGTAGAGCCCCAGTTACTTAGCAAGTAAACCTTTTATTAAATAAATTCAGGATTTTTTTTTTACCAGAGTGAGGAATTTGACATTGACAAAGCTTGTATCGCACCTGCAACATTGTACAGTCACATCAGTAACTGTGATGGAAGAAATCGTAAATGCTTGTTTTAAACCAGCTTGACCTAGGATTTCCAAAGTCCTTTTTTTCCCATTTTGCATTTGTTGGTCTTTTTTCTTTTTTTTTTTTTTGTTTTGTTCAAAATTAGACTAAGTTTAAACTTCATGAAATTACTTGTAGCAGAAATAAAGTACATTATACAAATCACATACATAATAGATGTTAAGTATAAAAATGGTATTTACAATAAGTAAACATGGACTATAGAAACACACAGACTCACACAGCTTCATTCATCTCTCATAAACTCTCAGCATCAGATACAGAAGGGTAGTTGAGGAGATGTGAAGGTACTTATAGAACTGTGCCACACACACCTGAACAAAGGGAAACTGGAGGAGAGTGAGAGTTGGCCAAGATTCTCTAAAATCCCCATAGCTCACTTCAGTAATAATTGCATCAACCTTTCCCCACCAACCCTTTATTCATGTTTCACTGCACACATACCCCCACACCCACCCACCCACCCAAATGTTTGTGGTACCTTATCAAACTCTGGAATATTGAAATTAATCAGTCATTAATCACTGTGGAGTTGGTTGGTTTGTTCTGTCTTGCTTTCCTTATTTTTGTAGAAACTTAAGAGATTGTTTCCAACTGTTAAAGGGATGTGCCTTGTCAGCGTGACACCCGCCCCACTCCCAGAGGATCTTTTCTAAATCAAGTTCTGAACTACATTCTGTGCATAAGAGTATTGTGCATATAGCTGTCCATATATATATATTATATATATATATATATATATATATATATGCTGCATAATGTATTATCAGTCTCTTGGAGGGAGTGCTGGGAAAAATGAAAAAACAGAATGACAACCCTCTTTCATCATATTATCCTTGCATCTGCTGGGGAAAGCTTTGCAAACGGGTGCGTGAGGTGAGTCTTCTTGCTGAATTCAGAGGGAGAAAACGTCCTGTTTCATCTGGGAATAAGTACAGCTCACTAAGCAGCTCTGCTATGTTGTTCAATCCCCTCAACACATTTTACAGCTTATGGAAAGCGTTAGCTTATCTGACACGGGGAGGCAGTGTGTAGCCCCCAGGAGGATTCTGTAGCTGTTTTGAAGATTGCATCTGCTTACACTGTTATCTTCTCTTGCCTTCATCAAGAAAATGCTGTTACCATGGAGAACTATGAAACACAGATCTGTGCCATGTGTGGGGAGGCAGTACAGTTCCTGTAGGTAAAGTGACTGGTTTCCTGTGCTCTCAGTCTAATCGAGGAGTTGTCAGGATGGGGTCTGGCACCAAATTCCAGGAGCTTTGTCTGCAGAAGCCCTGGGAAAGGTAAGACTGAGAGCTCTTGAGATCCTTAACCAGGCTGGTGCTACAGTGGATGAGTGACTCGAGCTGAGCATCTGACTGTGCCCTAATCCTGGAGGTATGTATTTCTCCTCCTTCTTGCTAATGTTGAGCAGAGAGATGATCCTCTCTTTCTCCCTACCATCTGCCACCCTCCCCCTCTCTCTCCCCAAGCATCCTCTCAAAATGTTCAGGCCTATCTGGAGTATGTGCTGAGAAGACACTGTTGCAAAGGTAAACCCCAAACGTCCAATACCTCTTGCAAGCAGTCAGTCTGAAAAATTTGGTCCTGCAAGCCACTTTAAAAAAAAATAGAGACTGTATATATATGTATATTTGTCTATGAAAAGGCCAGAAATGGAGCAAGAGGGAGGGAGGGATGGGACTAAACTTCCATACATCACTGCATTAACCTAGAGACACACCAGTGGGTTTTCTTGGTCCACGTACTCCAGCCATACCCCAAGAGGAAGAGGTTTATGTCCCCAGGGGCTGCTGTTTTGCTGGTCCCTTTGCTATGCACCACATTAGCAGCAAATATGAGTCGGTCGTGGCAAGAATCTTCCTCCTGGGCAGATATTGAGCCTTCTCTTTAATTGCGTGTCTTGGAGAGGAGGGGAAGAGGAAGATAGGGTGGGTAGGTGGGAAGCAGAGGAAGGAAAGGGGTGGTGTCAAAAGAGTCGATAAATTTACTGGCCTTTCTGTAAATCAACCTGAAGCAGAAATTCTTCCTCTGGACTTTCCTTTCACCTGAACAGAAAGGGAGGAGGGAGGGAATTGGGAGATTAGGAGGACATCTATGCAAGCCTCAGGCTTTGAGTTGCTGTTGCTTAAACATGAAGGACTATGACCCAAATCAGATCAGCCGTCCCTTGCTCCCTGTCTGTAGGCTGGCAGAAGCCAGCTCTTTGGCAGCAGCTGTTGTGTCAGGCAGCTCTTCTGTGGTCCTTAAGGGTCTCACCTTTTCTCTGCTTATCTGTGATCCCTGTGAATCATGGGATTATCCCTTCTTACCCCAGAAAGCATTCTCTGCAGACTAACTTCAGGCCCACGTAACAATTGAAAACTGGCTTTTAAAACCTTTTTAGGCAGACAAAAGCTTTGGGGGAGCAGTTGGACAGTAGACTGAAACCTTGCTTAGACCACAAACAGAACCCATCTGCCTGTCAGGGCCCTGAGTGCACTAAAAGGCCTTAATGAACTTGACCAGCCTCACCTACAATTTCTGTCCACCCTGCCCACAGGTTCAAGTCTCATTATAGCTCAGGCCTGTGTCATCAGCCTTTGTCTGATCTACATTGTGGAAATTCCAGTCTCCACCTGTCCACGGACATGTCCTGTCCATGGATCTAATTACCTGGACTTCAACCCTTGGATTGTCTTCCCATCTTGATGTTTGATCTGTTTACTATTGACATTATAGACCTGCCTGGCAATCACTGCACTATGTTTGACCCTATTTACCTTCACCAGATGTGATCCTGATCTTGACCTGCAGATTGACACTCTGGCTTGCCTTTGGGCTTGCCTCATTGCCACAAATTTGCCTGATGATCTAGACTGTTGAACCTGGCCATCATCTCTGGGCCTGCTCTGGTCACCTTGCTCGGGTGCTGGGGCTGGGCCCTGGCAGGTGAGGCCACTGCCCCACTAGCTGTACTATTGCCTTCAGCTCGTGGCTCCCCACTTCCAGACCTTGCTGTCCTGACACTGGCCAGCACTGTACAGAACTGTGCTATGATGGTGCCAGCTTTACCTTGTGCTGCAGAAGTGACTCCTGCTTGTTTACTGCTGTCAGTAGGGATGGTTAGCATCCTTGGGTCGTTTTAACTGAACCTTCAAGCGTTTCATGCCAATCTGGAAGCCATTCATAGCTTGGATAGCAGTCTGTGCACTGGATGGGTTGTCAAAGCTTACAAAACCTGAAGGACAGGACACAGGCATGGATGACAACAGCACTGTTGGTGCCATGCCCAATAATAACTGTCATCAGTATCTATCATGCTTCCCTCACCTGCTGGTGTCAGCACTTACCAAAACACTTGCTCTGGTTGGTGGCACGATCCATGAATACCTTAGAGGAAATGATATTGCCAAAGGGCAGAAACATCTGCATCAACTCGTTGTCTCCAAACTCCTGAGGGAGATGGTAGATGAAGAGATTGCAGCCTTCAGGACCTGCAGATATGGGGGCAGTGGGGAAGGACAAAACAGAAAACCCCAAAGGGAAGGGGAAGAAAAATGGGCTCAACTCATAGCACGGCACTGGAGGAGAACCCTAGCACTGCCTCCACTCCCCGAAGGATTCTGAGGGCTGTCTAAGAGCAACTGGGAGGTAATATACAAAGCTGAAGTTTCTGGAGAGCAGCTTCACTTTCAAAGCTTATCTAGTTCCCAGATAGGGTGCTGGACACAACAACTCTACGATGGTCTGGGTGCTGTTTTGATGGAAGGAACTCAGCTGAGGTAAGAGTTCCTTGTTCATAGCTCTCCCAGTCCTAGGAGAGCAGCAGACACTGCTACGTGAAAGCTGCTCCTCTGGCATTCCTTGCCCACAGTTAAGGCAGTGGTTGCCTTCAGTCCATAAGCTACAGCCTTAATCCTCGCTTGCCATACATCCCATTTATGGGCTGACCTTGTCCTGTCTACTCCTTCACTTGCTCCTTGTGAGCCTGATGAGCACAAGAAGCTGCTCCCTCCCTGACACCTGCTGTAAGAATCAGGAGCAGAGAGAGAATGCCTTTGCCTCCAAATTCTATTTAGGCCAATTTTAAAATAAGTTGAAAAATAAACTCGGAAGGCTATGAAGGCTGAAAGGAGAGGAAAGTACATTGGGAGAGGCTAGTTTGACTGGTACCACTGTGGTTCTGGCATCAGTAAAGATAGAGAGGGAGTGCTCTTTTCCCCTGACTGTGCAGGGAAGGTG